GATTTTTCCATTATCCCCCTATATACTGATGCTAACTGGTACTAGGGCTCCAAGTAGCCCAAGTGCGAGTGATATTTGCACTTCCACCATACTTGCGGAGTCATGCGCAACATTCTCAATACCTTGCCTATATTGAATGGTTCACCCCATTCCGTTCACAAGATCATGACCTTCATCTCTTCTCTGTGTCCCGCAGTACAAGGAATGGTCGACCAAATGCTCAAATCATTCCCTTGGATGACATCTTCCGCAGTTGTCATTTAATTCCTAAATTTGGTACTTCAGTGAGTCCGGAGTGGTCATCTGAGAATGTACTAGAGAAGTGTAAGACCTTCTACCTCAATAGCTGGATTGATTTTGTCATGTTTTATCAGATGCGTTGTCTTGATATGGTCTGTTAATGGTCATTTATTCTCTCACTGGATGTACCATTTTATGGAGGGTTATAGAAAAGAGCGGCATCCAATAGTTACCTACACTGTTCCTTACCCTACTTATGTTGCCTACAGAGACCTACAGATTTTAGCCCTTCCTACATTGCCAATGTCATGCAATGTAAATACTCCTGTTTCCATATCAACTTCACGTTTTGCTGATGGGTAGGTGACACTTACAGACGAGCGAGTTCAAGGATTGTGCAAGGAAATAGAAGACAGGTGTCCAGAAGATCACTAGTCCAGAGACCAGGGTAATGGCAATGTATGGGTTGCGGTTCCATATCACCCAAGTACGCACTGCGAGGATGCTCTCCGCAATAAGTGTCCCCGTGCCAAGCTGGTAGCCTTAGCAATGGACGCCGGGTGAGTTTATGGAGAATCGTGAACAAAGAGTAGGCTCGCCAATCGTCTTATAGATGAGGTCGCACTCATTTGGGCTCATCACCGCAAATTGATCTGAACGCTATTTGTTTGAGTGAATGATATGGAATGTGTGCAAATTGACGTACGATACAAGACGAGAAAGGTCTCCGCAAACACCGGATATCTTGTCAACAGGAACAATACCTTCCCGAACGTCCAGGGCGCCCTCCAGACCAGCGTGACTTCCTGAATCAGCTGAGTGAACGGCTAAATCACAGGAGAAACTGACTAACCCTCGCTACTGTCAATATATAGTCGTAGCCCTGGACGGCCAGCTTATCGGATGGGGCAGCACATGCGAGCCATAGTCAAGACGCACCAACACGGCAGCTGCGACAACTGCAAAGGAAAACTTGAGTCTGGGCATGTTAACTGCGAATCTAAGACGCACTATCCAGATACTGCGGCGTATCGAGAGACATTTGGGAGCCAGTCTTACTTGAACGTGGAGAGATGGGCATACCGTAACAGTCTGCTTGATCTGAGCTGCTTGAACGAATACACTCGACATGATAAGCGGAGGATCCTTGCCAATGCACCTTCAGCTCATTTTGTCCAACCCTTAAGTAGCCAAGCTGTGGACAGGCACTTCACTCAGCCTCTGACTTGTGATCAGTGCGAATGGATGACAATATCACGAACTCAAAACATACTCTCATCACGTGTGCTCGAGGGGAGCAACTGCCAGCATTCCAATGAGCCTGTCCATATTGCCCCCTGGTTTGATAGATTGCTGCCTTACTCCATCTGTCAGCAGTATCACCGACGAGTGTGTGCTCACGTTACTTCGTCGACTCCGACTGACTATAGGGCAATAGACGCACCGGAAACTCCTGATCTACAGGACGCTCCAAGACCAAACACACCAGTAGAGGGACAGATGTCTACTTAGAAATCCAGCAGTTTCTGTTTCGAAAGCCCTTTGAGCACATAAGCACCCAGCTCATCCTACCACAGTAGAGTGGTGGTTGCGGCGCGCTCCCCTATTCCTGCACTGAGTGATTTGATTGGCAGGCGCCCCAGGAACGGAAATTTGAGGTGCATCTCTCAATGTGCAATCAACTAACAGCTAGATATACCAGGCGTGTATGAAGATATTCACCCGCGAGTCACCTCAGTAAGATCCGCTACGACTGGGAGGGCACATTCGTCCGAGAGCTGGGTCAACCTGGTAATGATGTCTCGACCCTTGGTGGTGGGAGCCCCTGGGTGTCCTTCCAAACAGCAGAGGTACCGCGTCCGGCGTCATGGCGATCCTCGGGTTATCCATTTTCGCGGCTTACGCGCCGTCGCAGAGGCGACGGATATATGGAGAATGGTTAATTTTTTGGTACATTGAGGCAAATCCTGGTAAACATGACGAGGTCGACGACGCACCACGAAAGTGCGTCTATTAAGGACTCCATACGGGAACAAGAGCTGACGACATCTAGTTAGAAGAGGCGCAATTTATGCCTAGCATCCGACGAGTTCAACATACTGAGAGCGCCTCGACGAAGGGAGTCAACACCTCAGCGCCCAGGTTTCGAGAGCTCAAATTGAAGCTCAATGTTGCTCGAAACGTAGCTTCGGGGCCATTAACGCTGACGAAGATTGGCCCCTACACTGCATAGCGAGAACAATGGGAGTGGCGTGGTAAGCGCGCGAAGACCGGCAAGCACGTGAACATAAAGGCACTCTGGTTGAAGTTCGACTTCTCCTTGAGACCGCCTTCGCGCCTCTTTAGTCACCTTTCCTACTCCATTGCCACCAAGCTACGACCTAAACAAACACAACAATCAGTGACAGGTACGCCGGCGCTCGTGGTTTGTCAATTGTATCCCGCGCCACATGTGTCGTTCATGCCACAATCCGCAGCTACAGCACCATCGGATTTACGATGAACAAGCCATTATTAAACTCTATTCCGCCAGAGCTCGTTGCCAAGGTCGCCGACGATGTGCTCGACGACTTGGACGCAACAACTCCGGACCCCGACGCTCGACAAAATGGCATCGTTAGTTTGACTCACATCTGCGCAAAATGGAGAGCTCAGCTTCTGAACAGCCGGAAATACTGGAGCCGCATTTTCATCCAATCGGTAGCGAGCCTGAAGGACCTCGTCACCCGTTCTCGGAGCGCCGTTTTGACCATCACCGGATCACTCGACGACAAGGATGGCGGCGACGACGCCGAAGAACGTCGGAAGGATAACGAGGAAAAACTCGGTTTGGTCATGGGCGTCCGCTCGCGGCTGCGATCTCTCTGCGTATCGGTATCATCAGCAGTCTTGGGTAATGTTGTTGGCCAGGCCAACGGCCCATCGTCAGTCCTGGAGGAGCTGGAGATAAACGTCAACAGTGCTTTGGCTGCAACGAACTTGGCTGCCTTCACCTCCCCCGTCCTACGGCATTTACGGCTCAGTGGCTTTGACAACCTGAACAACTTCGCGATGCTTCTGATCCCAGCCCTAGCAGAACTGCATATAATGGGAATCAATGTAGTCACGACGACGTTGAATCTGCGGCACAGCTTACGTGGTCTGCCAAATCTCACCTCGCTGAAGCTTAGCCTCCCTCTCGAATCGCCGCCGAACAACCCTACCAACATGATCCAGAGCGGCGTGGTATCGCTCCTGTCTCTAAAAGATCTGTACATGGAGGTTTGGAGGCTCTGTGACGCTGAACTGCTGTGCGACATGCTCATGCCGCAACTGATGTTCGCCCACGTGCAGGTCCACGACTTTGACGATCTCGAGGGAACCATAGGGCATATGGATGGTATCATCACCGGGATCGGGCCAACGCAGGTGCTCCGTGGCTGCACCATGTACAGTCCTAACCCTACCACACTGTACTGCTCCTTCACACCGGATCCCGGTAGCTCAACATGGCGATCGCAGAAGGAAGGCTTATGCCTGGTTTTCGATGGATACGGTTATGACGAAGAGACACGGATCCTGGCCTCTCTACGACCGCGCCTGGGACCTCACATATCCGCGGTCGAGTATCTGAGCCTTGATGATGGTCGGGCGTACGTGGAGCGCTCCGCGACGGAATGGCGCGAGTTTTTCGGGCTTCTTCCGGCAGTGACTCACCTTCGAATCTCCGGGAGGTACACGTCAACGCTTCCTACAGGCATCTACACTCTGGACAGTACGGACGGATCCTGGCACCCACTGTTTCCAAAACTGGAGGCGCTGAGGCTGGAATCAGTGTGGTATCGAGACGGGTGGAGGCGCATCTTTGACGTGGTCGACTTCTACGATCGCTTCCTAAAGCCCTATCAGAGTCTGGGTTATCCCAAACATCTAACAGCACTTACTCTAATCGGGGGAATCAACATCTTCACTGGAGATGTCACAGTCCTCCGGAAAATCTTCCCAGCCATCGAGTGGGACGGTGTGGAGAAGAAGGACACTTCTCATGAAGAAGTGGAACAGTGGTACGTCCCCGAGGACGACGATGTCGTAGACAGCGACGAAGAGAATGCGGGAGAAAGCGAATATGGCGCCGATGAAGAAAACGATCTTAGCGAAGACGATGGAGACCGGTGTGAAGGGCTGGGGGAAGAGAACAGTGACGAGGATGCTGGCGAGGATGCTTGTGAAGCGCAAGAGCAGGCGAAGGTAGATGGCGAGAACTGAAGCTGATATATTGTATCTATTTGTGCGTGGGCGCACCGAGGGGGTAGCAGCTCTTTTATTATTATTTCATAACGGGCTTCGGCAAATGCTTGGGAGGTGTATTTATACTTGGGTACCGCGGCCAGGATGGGGGTGAATACCAATGGTAACCTGCACGATCAGAAGACAGAGAATCAGGTGAAGGATCGGGTCCCTCGCTACCACCATGTTCTGAGGACGAATTACCAGCACTACGACAAGACCAGTCGTACGTTCCATCAAGTCGCGACAGGGTCATCGAGTATCGCATGGCAAGATAGAGCTCTCCGAGGTCTCCCTGATGACATCCACCCGGCATGCCAACGTGGGCATTGATGAGTGGACATCATCATTGTAATCAAGAGAACCATGGGTGTCCGTTCTCAAGCAGCTCGATTGTGGATTGGAGATGCATGACTTTCTTCCTGCAACGCTGAAATGATTGAGCACACGATGGTGACAGCATACTTGGGTAACGTACATTCCGTCAGGATGGCAGTCGATCGACGAGACGAAAAAGGCCCTTCCACTACGGCGTAAAGCATCAGGATAGACAGCCATGCAGGTGCACTCCTTAATCGGCTTCATCGCGCCCGCCTCCGTTTTGCCCACATTCACGAAGTTCGACGCCAGGAGACAAGAGCCAGCGACCCTGATAATATTTTCGATAATGACGTGCAGGTACAGACGATACGCATCGAATTTAACGCGATGTCCGCACATATGCGAGGTCGGTGTGTCCTGAGGTCCTAAAATGAAAGGGGCCGCCACAATAGCCAAATAGTTACAATGTAAGCCACTTTCCCAGGCCGATGTTTCGCCATGACCTTCTGTAGCGAGGTTCTACGCTCCAGTGAGTCATGACTATCTTCCTGGTTCGGCCCTTGCTCTCGTTTCCACTATCGTGCACATGCACTCCTTTGTGGTCGGATGACTTGACGCCTAAATTTCTCATCTAAGTAAGGGCATCGATATCTGAATCGTATACGTTAAACGCATTTGGTCAGAGAAATTGAAGCTCTTTCGTGCTTTTTGAAATGCCATGTGCAGATGCCAATGCATAACCTCCAAGTTGCGCAGATGACAGCGCGACCGATCAAGTCGGGTATCGATGTGGCAACAGACCGTAAAAGAGGTAATCTTCTGCACGAGAAAAATACTCTCTCGACTGTCTGATCCGGAGATATCGTGACTGGAGGAGGCTGTAAGCAACGTCTGGCATACTCGTATTACACGAAGCTAGCAGTCTATGAAACTTACAGATGAGCGAATTCAAGGGCTGCAGCAATAGGATAGAATACGAGAAGAATGTCAATGAAGACCAGTACGATGGCGATATGGAAACCACGATCCCGGTATACCCAAGTGAGCACTGGGAGGATGTGTCCTTGACAAGAGTCTCCGGTTTAAGCTCGCCGTGTCATTAATACATGAAGGGTGAGTGTAATACATACCGATCTGTGGTTAAATATATTTCTCGTTCATTTGAGCTCATCACGACAATAAGATCTGTGAGACGTTCATATGAGTAAGGATAATGGGCTGTGACGACACTTGGCGTACTATATAGGCGAGGAAGGTCACCACCAGGACCGGGTGTCTCGTCAACACGAGTAGTACTTTGCTGAACGTCTACAGTACCCCCCCCCCCCAGCTACCGCCGGGCCACAGAGAAGATCCTGATAAATATTCCCTCGCTTTTTGACCAGCTCTTTAACTAGCCAAATCGTCGGCCAATTCACTCGGCCTCCTATGACTTCTCTTTAGTATACTAGATGACAATAGCCCGAACTCAAACATGCCTTCGTCACATATGTCCCCGGCGGAGCAGCCGGACGCTCTGCTGCAGCTGAGGGTGTCCAGGTTGCCTACTGGAATGCTAGATCGCTCTATTATCCGGCAATTAAAATTCACCCGCAAGCGAATACCCACAGAATACTCCACCAGTTCAGCAAAATTCCAGGAGCTTACGAAGATGATTGCTCGCATCTCATCTGAGTAAAGTTCGGGCGGGCGAGAATATCAGGAAACCATGTTCGGCGTGGAGAGCTTCGTCAGAGCACCCGGCACGACGGATGAAGCTTTCATATATTGTTTCGCAGAAGCCAGCGTAACATGCCGAACTGGTCGAATAAGGAATATAGTCACGGTATCTCCTCCTGCCTCACGAGGCGACTCCAATACTTATATCCTACCTCGACGGCTTGCCTGTTGGTAAAATGTCGATGCAACACCTAGCAGACATTATCGGGTGCAGAAGGTACCAAATAACACAGCTCTACTGCATACGCACTGTAAAGTGAACGACATCCAGGTCAGAGAGACAGGGGCGAATTTTCACTCAAGTTCGACGAATTCAACGAGAACGAGGGCAGTCTTCTGTTCCAAGCCATTTACCTGCATACCTGACGACCTTGTTGGCGAGTCAAATTCATACCAGAAGAAAAGGGTGAGCGTACACAGTTACGCCCAAGTTTATATTTGACACTCGCTTAGGAGTTGTCGGTGGTTGTTTGGAGTATATACTAAACTGGTAGAAGTAGAAGTCAGGGGGAATTTTCCGACTTCTACCAATAAGCCGTTGCAGTGGGTGTCGCTGCCACATGAGGGTCCCCCGCCGACCGTTGCTTTATGTGGCATTTCCGGACCCTAACCAACCGGGGGGTTCCCCCCGGACCCCCTTATAAGATAGCCCGTAGCCCGTACCCTAACCTCCTTACCTTAATCTGCACCTCAACCAGACCCTGGGGGTTACCCCCCGGACCCCTCTCTAACCCAAACTCTAACCGTCGGCCGGGGGTGCAATTCTTGCTACAACTTTGCTGTGGCAAGCAGTGGCTAGCGGCGGGGCGAGGGCGCGCGGGAGGTGTGGCACCACTGTCAGTGGCATAGTGGCCAAGTAGAAGTCGGAGACCGGAACACGGAACTCCAACTTCTACTTCTACCAGTTTAGTAATACCTCGTTGTTTGGATGCAGTGCGAGGACAATGGGTGTGGCGTGGTAACGGAGACTGGTAAGCAGGTGCACATAAAAGGCACTCTTGTCGAAGTTCGAATGTTCCTCCCAACCACACTGAGACCTTGCGCGCTCCGCTTCAGTGGCCCCTCCTGTTACCGAGTCATAGTCCTAAAACAAGAACAACAATTAGCGAAGGTATGTCGGCGTACTTGTTCATTGTTGCGCGCCACAGATGTCGCTCATACCACATCGCAACCACAGTGCCATTCGAGTTCTAATGAATAAACCAACCTTCAGCTCCATGCCGCCGGAGCTTATCGCCCAAGTGGCAGATGAATTCGTCACCGACCTCGAAGCCACAACTTCCGATCCTCATACTCGACAGGCCGGGGTCGTCTCCTTGACACATGTTTGCGGGCGATGGCGGGACCAACTGGTCAACAATGCCAAATACTGGACCAGTATCTTCATCGAAACTGCGGATAGTCTGCGGGATCTCATTGACCGTTCACGTCGCTCTCCCTTGTCCATCACCGGGTCACTGGAGAAAGATCATACTGGCGATCTCCAGGAGAACAACGAGGATAAGTTAAGCTTGGTCATGGGCGTCGGCTCTCGGTTACGGTCTTTGTCCATCTCGGTCTCCTCGCAGGTCCTGGGTAACGTCGTCGGTCAGGCACATGGTACTATGCCCATCTTGAAGCACCTGGAAATTAAGGTCACGGGTGCTGTCGGAGCAACGAACCTGACTCCCTTCACATCCCCGGTCCTGCGGCGTCTACAGCTGAGTGGCCTGGACAGCCTGAATGACTTCAGGATGCTCTTCACGCCAGCATTGACGGAACTGAGTATCATCGATGTCAGAACGGCTATGACGACGCTGGATATACGGCAGGTCTTACGTGGTCTACCCAACCTCATGGTCCTCAAGCTCAGTTTGGCCCTTGGACATACACCAATCAACCCCGGCACCGTGATCCAACTCGACAAGGTCCCACTGCCCTCCCTGCGGACCTTATATATTGATATTCCTCGCCTTCGTCATGCGAAACTGCTGCGCGACATGGTCATGCCGCAGCTAGAGCATGCCTATGTGCAGGTTCACAACTTTGCCTATTTGGAGGAGATCATAGTGTGCATGCAGGGCTGTATCGACGGGATTGGGTCGACCCAGGTGCTCCGCGGCTGCACCATGTATAGCCCGAGCCCCACAAGCATCTGTTGCATGCTGACTCCAGATCTGACCACTACGACATGGCAATCACAGACTGCTGGGCTCTGTCTCGTGTTCGAAGGCTACGACTACGATGAAGAGGCCTGGATCCTGGATGTGTTGCGCCCGAGACTGCAACCATACTTGTCCACAGTCGAACGCTTGACCATAGAAGACGGTCGCGCGTATGTGGAGCAATCAGTCGTGGCTTGGCGGCAACTCTTCAGCCTAATGCCGGGGGTGACCGAGCTCGGCGTCTCGGGCAGGTATACGTCAGCTCTACCTGCCGGCCTGTATGCTCTTGATAGATCGGGTGAACCGACGAATCCCTTGTTTCCGAAACTGTAAATGCTGCGCCTGGAGTCAGTATGGTTTCGGGATCCTTGGAGGAGGATCTTTGGCGTTGTCGACTTCCTCAATCGGTTCCTGAAGCCCTATCAGGTTTTGGATCACCCCAAATCACTAATAAGCCTTACCATTACTGGAGGAATCAACATCTCAGCAAGAGATATCGACGTCCTCCGTGATATCTTCAAGGTTGTCAAGTGGGACAGCCTGGAGAAGAAGGATGTCTCTCATGAGGATGGCGTACAATGGTATGTCTTCCGGGAAGACAATGCGAGGGAAAAGACGGAAACGGAGGCGCACGAAAGCGATTACGACGCTGATGACGAGGAAGATGCCGGAGAGTAACGAAGGGGGGTTCATTGCGATGCCGACGGCGAGGGAAGGCTGATGAGAGCGTGTCCAAAGCGCCAGAGGAGGGTGGAGCAAGCGACAACGGAAGATCGAAAGTCGTACTCATTGATTGTAGGCGGGGGCGTCGACGGAATAGCCGACAGGGTAGCAGTTCATTTTTCTTATATATCCAATCGCAAGTCCGCTTGTAGGCGGGAAACGTGTCTATCTCTGGGTACCGCGTCAGAATGCGGAAAAAATATCAGTCTTCATCTGCACACTCGAAAACCAGCCTCTGATAAAACTTTGCGTGAATGGTGGCCATCGTGGGGACGGATGCATTACTACAAAACTATGTCGTGCGTGCCGAATGCCACGACGTCCGACAATCACAGAGCTCTGTGAAGTGTCCCTGATGGCATCCACCCACCACGTCGATCTCGGCATTGATGGGTAGACATCATCAGAGGACATGGGAGAGCCGCGGACGGGTATTCAGAACCAGTTCGATCCATGACGGATGGCTACCTACGACGCCGGGACACCCGAGAATCGTATGGTCCACAGGCAGCTCGATTGGCGACGCACAACTATTTTGCTCCGATGAAACCATTCACTGGGTACAATACCCATACTGAGCCACTGAGAAAGTGTGAAAGGAACCGGACAAAGGTCAAATTTTGTTCATAGTGTTGCCTTGCAAAACAAATGAAAGTTCAATGAACAGCGCTGAACAAAGATCATATCCTGTGTCACAATCAGATTTTTGCGCACTCAAAAGTAGTATTATTCTAATTCGTTTCACTGACTGTGCAATGGACAATCATGAAAAAAGTTTGACCTTTGACCAGTTATTTTCAAAGTTTTGTGCATGCTCAATATGGGTGATGTACCCAGTGATTGCGATAGGATTGGAAGGGCAATATAAGGCAACGTACATTCCATAGAGATAGCGATCGAACGACGCTGCAAACTGCATGCTTCGGCGACCTCGTGAAGCGTCCAGATCGAATGATACGGAAGTACACTCCTTGATCAGCTTGATCTCGTCCCCTTCCATGCTGCCAACGCTGACGAAGTTCGAAGCCAGGAGAGAGAAGAGCCAGCGCTTTGCTGATACTCGATAACGACGTGCAAGTACGGACGAACGCTCTTCTCCTGGAAGACCACTCCGTGGGGAGTCTAAGTAGCGCGTAGAACGAGCATCAAAGTTAAAACGCGACGTCTGCGTGCGAGGTCGGCGTGGCCTCGACATGATGACATCGTAGAATGCAAGGCAGCCACGATAGGCAAATAGTTACAAAGTAAGGCTCCGTTCGGTTGCACGGCCGCGTCGCGGCGCTCTCAAGGCGCCACAGCCAGCTCGGCCGCGTGGCAGTGCTTTTAGTGAGACGCGATTGGCTGAAAGACTGTTTTGGCGTCGTTGGCCGCGACGCGGCCATGCATCCGAACGGAGCCTAAGCCACCTTGCCGTCCATGTTTTCCCAATATACTCCCTGTACGAAAATTCCGCTCAAGTGAGTCATGGCTACTTACCATATACTCTGGCCATCTGATCTCAAGCTCCGACAACCTTCGTCCTGGCTTCATTTGTCCCTCTCGCGTCCTCTTTCATGCACGCCGGGCTCGATTGAGGAGACTGCTTGCCCATATTTCACGTGAAGTCGAGTATTGTACGGTCGAATCACTTCAAGCTTCACGGCACGTATCATCGCATCTCCTAGCGCAGATCTACAAACACAACTAGCGTCTGCAGTGACTCCGCACCGCTCCGGCTCGCAAGCGATGGCTCTGTCTGACCTGCTCGAGCTTGCCACTCGGGCAGGACAGCGCACGTAATGGTAATTTATATGCATTCCCAGTCTATAGCATAATTTACGCGGTAACACATGTACTATGACCACCCTCCCCAGCAGCGAGGGCGTCGGCGTTAAATACTCGTTACAGTTCAACAACACCCAACCCAATAAGACAGTAAACCACGGCGCGGAGAAGAGACGAACGCAACAGATACCTGAGGGTTGAGTATCTCAATAGCGGATCAGCGACGCGCTACCCAACAACTGCGGCTAGAGACGTTCAGAAGCGCTTATCTCGCGGATGCCGTTAGAGGGACGTACGTCGATGGCTTGCTCGGTTCGAGTTGCTTGCATGAATATT